TGAGAAGGTAGCTCAGCCCACCTGTAAGTCAAGGACCCTGTCATTTTGTCTCCTGTGGCACTGGCCAGTCACCTACGATGCCCTGGGCCATGTCTAAGTCCTTCACAAACATCTCACTTTACTCTCGTAACCACTCTGTGAGGCTGGCACTGCCAGCACCATATTCTACAGACAGGGTGCAGTGACTTGCCTCCCGTCACACAGCCTAGTTCCAGCGCCTGTGTCTTAACCACTACACGTTGCCTCTGAGGAGCAGGATGCAGCTAAATGCCTGTGTCTAAGCCCAGGAGCTGGCTTCAAATATCCCCTTGCGGGGTGAGGAGGCAGGGCCTTCACGTCCTTGTCACACCACAGGGGAGAGTGTGAGTATCAGCCCCATTCTGCAGATGAGGAAAACTGAGCCCAGGGGAGTTCCACGGTGTGCCTTGAGGTGAGCGGGCTGTGGATCTGGGAGAGAGCACAGAGCTAAAACTCCATGCATCATCTCATTCCAGCCTCGTCAGGCCATTAGTGGTATTACCCCAGCTTTACAGATGGAGAAACTGAGGCTCAGAGAGGTACAATGTTTGCCCAAAGATCCCATGACAAAGACTAGGCACAGCTGGGATTTCATGTGCCCCTGAGTTACCTGAAAATGTCCCTCTGCCGTCAGGCCCACTCCTTATTCCCACACGTACAGACAAGACCTCACAGTCCCTCCCCTGGATGCCCTCCCCTTTCCAGGTCCGCGGCCCCACATAGGGGCTGGGCTCTAAAAGTCACAGGAAGGGAGAAGGCGGTGAGGGAGGCGAGAGAGAGAAAGCACGCGTGGGCCGGGGGCCACATGCGCCACCAGCCTGTGCCCGGGTGTGTGCAACCCAAGTTAGGGGCCGAAAGCTGTCGCTTTTCTCGCATCAGCTGTGCAGGAGCAGAAGGCAGAGCTGAGCCCGCCTGGGGCCGGGGCCGGATTACAGCTCAAGATGGGTCCTCACACACCCAGGCCCGGGGACTGCAACAGTGTACCTGGTGTGGCCGGGGCAGGATGGGACGCCACTGCCATATGTCCCCCTTTACCCCCAGGGTCTTGGACTAATAAGCACCTTCCCCACAACCCCCGCCATGATGGCCTGGAAGGGGCAGGGAGACACCTCCTGCATTAGGGGGTAGGCTGTTCCCATGTCACAGACGGGAAAACTGAGGCTTCTAGAGGTTAAAAAACCTAGTGAGTGAGGGCCAGACCAGGCTCTGAAGCCAGGTCTCTCTGCTGTGTTCTCTCCGCATCAACGTGCTCGGCGGCCAGAGCGCCACCCCACAGAAGAACAACCTAGGGGCAGGAACAAAGTCCAGAGGAGAGGGTGAAAAGGAGCAGCACCAACTACTGGGGGCCACGCCTACGGCCACTCTGGGCTGGACACGGAAATAGCTCCGACAATTATTCTGTCACCTGCTTATTTTTAAAAAATTCTTACATAGCATTTACTACACACCAGGTACTGCAGCAAGCAGTTCATGAATATCACCTTCTTTAATTTAATCTTTCTAACAACCCTATGAGGTAAGTTATTCTTATTCCCACTTTACTAATGAGAAAACCGAGGCCCAGAGAAGTTAAGTAACTTGCTCGAAGTCACTCAGCCAGTGAGGGGCAGAGCCAGGCCGTGAGACTCCAGTCTGGGCTCATCCACTGAGCACTTCTCACGGAAGCTCCAGCTTCAATTCGCACGCTAAGTATTTCCCACAACAAGTAGAATTTGCCATCTGCCACTGGCCCTGCCACTGACACCAGCCAACTCCCTAGGAATCAACTGGGGCCTTTCGTTTCCTGCCAGTTGTTCCAGGAGGGCGGCTGGCTGCCGGGAATGAGGAGGAAGGGACCAGAGGGCAGCAGGACTTGCCCTGGCAGCCAGGCTGGGCTCTGCTGCCACCAGGGCCCTCCCCTGGTCCTCCGTCCAGGGGGTTTACACCAGGGCTCGCTGAGTGGGGCTGGGATGGACCTGTTTCCAACAGCAGAAGGGGTTCTCCTGGTTCTGGCCGGGCCAGGTTTTGTTTCTGAATTCTTTTTGGAGACTTTATTTTCCTTAGAGTAGGAATGGGCCCTTGTCCCACACTCATTGTTATGGAGGGCAGAGGTGTCCTGGCACAGCCCAGAGGGGTGAGCGCAGCTGGCCTCCAGATGGGTACTTCCTGGCCACTTCAGTCTCCAAGCTCCAGGCCATTTCGTCCTGTCTGTGGGGAGGGCACAGGCAGGTGGGCAGGCCGCACCCATTCTGGGTTTGTTTCTATTCGGGCTGAGTCCTTTCAGTGCCACCCCTGGGGTCTTCTCCTGTCCCCTCAGGCTCAAACATGTTCTTACCCCAGTCTCCCTGGGAACCTTCCCTCTCTTGGATTCTCAGACCTGGTGGTGGTGACTGTCCAAGGAACTCACTGCTATCTTTCCTCGGCCCTGGAGTGGGGCAACCCTGGGTTCAAATCTTAGTCCATCACTTCTAGTTGTCTGTCATCTTCACTTCTCTGAGCCTCAGTTTCCTCATCTACAAAATGGGATAATGAAGGTACCCACTTCATAGGGAGTCATGAGAAGTAAATGAAATGAAAGAATGCACATGAAACACTCGGCTCATAGAAAACTATTAGTAGCATCACTGTTATTTATTAATAATCTCCTCTGGGGGAGTGCTGACCTTTTCTCACTGCACAGAGCCCCTGCCCCTGAGGCGTGGCAGCAGTGCCAATCTCTCTGTGATCTAAGTCAACTCTCTCAAATAGAAAGGCCCTGCTCTCTATCTCTGGTGACCAGGCTGACCCACACCTGCCCTCACCCTGGATAACCTGCACAATGCCCTGACCTACCTTCTCAGGTAGAGATGGCCTCATCTCCTAGGAGCCAACCTGCCCAGGCTGAGCCCACCCTGCGTCTTTAATCCACAACAAGCCAGTGAGATGGGAATCACCTTGCCACAGGTCAGCTCAGACCATGGAGTTCCGGCCCAAGGCCATGCCTGTGAGCCTGCCGGAATGCCCCACATCTGTCTGTCTCTCTGAGTTTCAGGGTGTCATTGCAGGCCCCTTCCAAGTGCAACCTCTGCA